TTCCCCTGTCTTCTAAACCAAGACACACATGCATAAAAAACCTCTTTGCAGCTTGTTTTTCAGACAGAAATTTGCATACTACTTCAAAGTACTTGGAATGTTTTTCCATTCATCTATCATTTTTAAAAATGGGGAAGATGGCAGTATTTACCTATTGTCTCATTTATCGTTCAACAAATATCATAATTTCAGGTAGCTGTCAGGGGAACGGCGAGAAACAGGAGGAAAAGCAGGACAAAAGATAGCAGAACTAGCTGAATTTCTTAAGATTTGAATACTGTCTTAGAGTGATACTTGAATTATTAGAATTATTCAATAAGTGATAGGAATATTTAATGGTTTTATTAAGCAAGTTTTTTTTTTTCAGAAAAAGATATTTAAACTTGACTTGAACCAACACCAAAACAAGCTGCTGACAGGGAAAAAAAATCATTCTTCTAGTTACACCAAGTATGACTGACTGTTGCACTTCTTTTTTTTTTCCTTGCAGGATTACACTTTGACTATGTATTTTCAACAGTACTGGAGAGATAAAAGGCTGGCTTACGCTGGCATACCTCTCAACCTCACACTTGATAACCGAGTGGCAGATCAGCTCTGGGTGCCTGACACTTACTTCTTAAATGACAAGAAATCATTTGTGCACGGCGTTACCGTGAAGAATCGAATGATTCGCCTTCACCCGGATGGGACGGTGCTTTACGGCCTCAGGTCTGTACTTCCATGATGAAAATTTCATCACTGTCATTATGTATTGTTGATATTTGCTTCCTGGTACAAGGTTATTACAAACATTGGGTAGCGTATTATGTAACCTTCCCTGTAACTCTGAAAGATGCCTGTAGAAAACAAATGACATACTCGATGTTTCTTGATTTTGCCAGAAGCGCCTTCAGTCAGGTTTTATCTGTTGCTGTAGAGTCACCATATCTGGAAAACCCGCTGGCTATCGGAAGCAAAAAGGCACGCATTAATTGTAAACCTGAAAATTTTGACCAAAATACAGGCAATAAGATTGAATGTGGGTGCTTATGTAGTCTCTTCATGTGTCTGTAGTCTATAAAACCACAAGCATCCCTGGTTGAATGGCATCAGCCACCGTTAAGACAATGACTGTGGGTACCTTCAGTGATTTTGTCAATCAGGGATCAGCACTGCAATGTGTTATATTTCAAACCAGAGGTACGAAGTGACCTTATATTACCATATTTTCTACCTATTTTAGACTTGACCTGCGTTTTTTTTTGTATTCATTCATAGCAATTAAGAATGCTGAAAAATCCTTCCCTTAATACACTTAATTACCCTAAAAATCTTAAGGGAAGACTTAGTATCATAAAATTGCTTTCTTTGGATAGGTTACTCTGTTTGCTCCAATGATTTGATTCCACCTCAACATGAGGAAAAATTTCTTTACTGTGAGGGTGACAGAGCACTGGCACAGGCTGCCCAGGGAGGTTGTGGAGTCTCCTTCTCTGGGGACTTTCAAACCTACCTGGACACATTCCTGTCTGGTTGCCCTAGGGAATCCTGCTTTGGCAGGGGGGTTGGACTAGATGACCTCTAGAGGTCCCTTCCAACCCCTGACATTCTATGATTCTATGATTCTGTGATTTAACCTATACCAGCAAAACCAGTCTTTGTGATGGAAGCTCTCTTTCCATCATCGGAAATTTCTTGTGGTTTTAGGCTCAGATAATACTCAAAATTGCTGGTAGCACAGGATAAAGGTTCCTTAATATGAAAATGCATGAGATCTTAAAAATGGTGCAGATGGATCGTATATTTAGTATCATTATTTTACATGCTTTTGTTTTTTATCAACAGTTGAATTTTTTTTTGGACTTAGGTCTTGGCCCCTCGCCTCTTTAACTCCCATTCCAGTATGGAAGCCTGCAAGTTTAGAATTCTTTCCACGAGTAGTTAAATGTCAAAAAACAATGCAAGGTATTCTTGCTTCCTTTTTCTGAAGAACTATCCCCACAAGCAATGTAATAAAAAAAGTGATGGAGGTTGAGGCTCTTGTGATCATACTAATGTATAGAGCTCTTTCTGCCACACTAAAAACATTTGGAGTCATTCAGGTGAGGATCATATCTCATAAAACAGTGTGTCTGAGTAAGTTAGACTCCTCTTTGGCAAGATGTTACTGTCCACAAGCAAATTGCGTTTCACTTGATAGTATTTGCTTAGCAGGGATTTCGCCGGTGGCTTACATGTGACACGCTTCTATCCATTCCCTTTCCTCTGGAAGCCAGGGTATATATCCGTGGTGTGATGCAGCTGAGTTACTTACTGAGGATAACTGTCTGAAATGAAATCTTGGCAAAATATAGGACATTGTGATCATAAGGAGGAAAACACCTGAGCCTTAGCTCTGATGATTTAAAGAATTGCTCTTTGTGTTGCTCTGCCGCTAGCCTGTCTTCTCATGTCGTGGTGTCAGAGCATCCCAATGGCATCAGACTTAAGCTGCATTCTGGAGGCAGGGATTCATCCTGTGTCCTGAGACCAGAACCTGGAGTTTTAGCAATGAACAATGTAGAATTCACATAGTTTTGAAAGACTTGACCTTCAGTGATCCGAAGTTTCTCTCTACTTCAGAGAAAACAGTTTGCGACTACAGCAAAAGTCTGTGAGAGTGGAGGAATGGGACAGGAGCTTTTCTAAGTTCAATGCATTTCAGGGGCTTTTTTTTTTCTGTGGGCACAATACTAACTGTTGTTCCACCTTATTCAGAACAGTGTACAAAATGTATGGTCATACAACAGGCTTTTTTCACAACAGACCAAAAAAGAAATAATGGCATTATAGACTGGGAATCAAAAACTAGAGTCTTTCTGACTGTTTTTGTGCATTTGCCAAATATAAACCTCTTGTTCTCAGTCAGTACAATGCTAAATGTTATAAATAAATAGAGTGGAGGAATATATGTATTTTATCTGAATGGACCCATGTAGTTATCACCTGTATATGAAACATGATGGATGTTTTCAAGGTGAAAAGGTTAGTAGTGATCTGTTGGACAAGGCAACCACAGTTACTTCTTTTCTTTTTTGAATGAATGTATTTATGTATCAAGAAGAAAAGAGGATCAAATTAGTCATCAGGACTGTGACCTGCTCCTTTAAGAAGTGTTTATATTGTTTAGACTGATTTATATTGTAAACTTCTGGGGGACAGAAAATATCATCCTGTCAGTTGTTTGTGCAGCATCTCCCAGCATATCACAGGGTGGGATTCCTATACAGTATAATGATATCATAGAATCATAGAACAATTCAGATTGGAAAAGACCCCTGAGATCATCAAGTCCAACCATTAACCCTACACTACAAGTTCACCCCTAAACCATATCATCCAACACCCCATCTAAACGACACTTGAACACATCCAGGGATGGAGACTCAACCACCTCCCTAGGCAGTCTATTCCAGTGCCTGACCACCCTTTCCTTGAAGAATTTCTTCGTAATGTCCAGCCTAATGTTACCCTGTTGCAACTTGAAACCATTCCCCCTGGTTCTATCCCTAATTACCTGTGAGAAGAGACCAGCACCAACCTCTCTACAATGTCCTTTCAAGTAATTGTAGAGCATGATGAGATCCCCCCTCAGCCTCCTCTTTGCCAAACTGAACAGACCCAGCTCCCTCAATCGCTCCTCATAAGGGCTGTTCTCCAGGCCCTTCACCAGCTTTGTTGCCCTCCTCTGCACTCGCTCCAACACCTCAATATCTCTCTTATACTGAGGTGCCCAAAACTGAACACAATACTCAAGGTGTGGCCTCACCAGTGCTGAGTACAGAGGGACAATCACCTCCCTTCTAATGCTGGTCACAAAATTTCTAATACAAGCCAGGATGCCGTTGGCCTTCTTGGCCACCTGGGCACACTGCTGGCTCATATTCAGTCAACTGTCAGTTAGAACACCCAGGTCATTTTCCGCCGTACAGCCTTCCAGCCACCCTTCCCCAAGCCTGTAATGTTGCATGGGGTTGCCGTGACCAAAATGCAGGACCCTACACTTGGCTCTGTTGAATTGCATGCAGTTGGCCTGGGCCCATCGATCCAGTCTGTCCAGGTCCCTCTGTAGAGCCTTTCTACCCTCCAGCATATTTGATATAATCAAATGCAATCAGCCCAATAATAAAATAGCAAAGAAGGATGAGAGAATCTATAACCAGAGGGAAGATAACTGGTGTAGGGTTTTTTAAACAATTAAAAATATTTCCTTTGTGTATTGCTTTCACCTAAAATGTATGTCTACCCGCGTACCATTTTATCTTTGTCTGGCTTGTAATTGTACCTCTGTCACTGCTGTGATGATGAGTTCTTGAAACCTGGTTGTCCTGCTGTGTCAGTCAGCATCCCATCCCATAAAATATAAACCTGCTCTTCTTGGGAGAGTGCACAAGCCTGAGCAATTAACATTTGTTTTTGGTGAGCATTTGTGCAAGTTAAATTTGGTTGCTTGAACATTCGTTCAGGAGGGGCCTCTGAGCACTCAACTTACTTTGTGTAAATGGGGTAAATCTGTTTCTAGCTATATCTAGCTGTACCTTCTTTTCTAGTGGATATTTATAAAATTAAAAACATAAATTTTGTTGTCGTGTAAAAAGTCATTTGAGCAAGAATGTGCAGTTTCTGGTAGTGGAACTTGTGGCACAGAACCACTACAGTATGTGAACAGGCTAAAATAAAAATACATTCCTTAAAAAGTCATAAGACAATTAGCAAGTTGAATGCAAGTTTGCCAGCTGCATAATTTTTATTAATTCTGTCAAATTAATCATTTGTAAGTGCATTTGTTCTGTATGGCTGACATTTAAAACTAGTTGTACAACATAATAATATCCTGGTACCACACTCACTCTTGTCTCAACGTAACTCAGGTGGATTCTGCTGCAGGATCTTAAATGAGATCTAGGTCAGTGTAGGGGTAGGTACTAAAGCATGGGATAGAAACCTCATAGCAGCGATGCCCAGGTGTGCCTGTTTGTTTGCTTTAAGCACAGGTATCAGTTGACCTGGGAGGAAGGTTATTCAAATGCACAATTGTTATGGCTTTGTAAAGCTGATCACTGCTAAGACCTTGTTTATTGATGATTGCAGATTTAAAACTTAAGTTTTCTTCCCTGAGAGCCTATGCTAGTTCTTGTTTTATATGTTTAGCTAGAGCTGCTAGTCATCGTCATATTGAGGAGTCATTCATCTCCATAATTAATAGCCTTGTGTCTAGCATCTTGCTTGAGGGTCCAGAAGGGCACCTGCAGATGCTGTTTGCAAAAAAGATACCCCCCTAAACTGCAGAGCAGCTGAGAAATTACTGTTTGTAAACTATTCCAGCCCACAAGGATGTGTTAACAGAGAAACTAAGGCACCTCCCAGCAGGTAGCTGGAGGGAGGTTGACCTAAGTATCCTCCTGTGATACAGTATTTGGTACCTGAAAGCCTGTGGGACAGCTCTGAGGTCGCTCAGAGTGAACAGCAATGGCATAGACAGAGTCTGGGAAGGACAAAGATCAACTGTGTGCTTTTCTCACTCACTACTGATAGGAACATGAGAGGATGAGTAACAGATTGTTGAACTTTTTCCTCTCCTACCTCATGCATTGCCTTTGTGAACATACGAATGTCTCTCCCTGTGCAAAGAAATTGTATTTTCTTGCAAAAGCACCTTCTCAGACAGAGAAGGGTGGCCTCCATTGTCCTGTGAGATAGTTGCAATGGCCTTAATCCCTTCCTTTGGATATTATGTGGTTATCCATCTGAAGTAACCTATGTGCTAAGAATAACATTCTTTCTTTCCTTTTCTGGTAGACTGGACAGGCCATACATAATAACACCATGGGGTATTTTTAGTGTGAAAGAGTTGAAAGGCACCTAACTAGTTTTCTCATCTTCAGATGTTGCCCCATAATTTTAAAATAGTTTACCAGGTTAGAACACCATAATTTCAGAAGGTTAAGAGATTAAAGAGAAAGCTTCGAAACAGAGAAAACATGGACAAAACCTTAACACTGAGAGTTCCAACTTTTAGAGATACATTTAAGGCATTTACCTTCTTGTATTATTAGCATAAATTATCACCATAATATCATTTGTTCAGGAACTAGCTGTGTACAAGGTCCATCTCTTGTTTAGATCAGAAGGGGATCAGTAAGGAATGGACCTAGTCAGAACAAAAAGACAACTTAAACATGAATTGTCTATGAAGCCATTATAAAGAAAGTGATGCATAAAAATGTTGATACTCTTGATGAAGGCTGTGATTCAGCAAAACGCTGAAATGTGCTAAAGATTAAGCATGAGCATATGGTTGTATACAAATCCATTAATTTAAAAATGAAGTGCCAATGCTGCGTGAAGCTGTTAATACAATTGCTTTGGTTGTGAATGTGTATTGTTGACACTTCTGAAACACAAGAGCATGATTAAAAATGCAGATTCATCAATAGTGAAATGTTTTGCAAATCCATTCTTAGTGTGCTAAACTGCCTACACTGGAAATAGAGAGGCAAAAATACGTTGTTATCTGAGGAGAAAACACTCAACTTTGAAACAAAGTGTTTTACTGGACTTAGAACATTTTCTCAATGTTTATTTTTTTCTTTCTAGAGCTGCCACTAACCCAAGGAATCAGTTATTCACACAGCTCTAATCATTTTGACATTTGTGGCAGACTTTTTTCGCTTCACATTTTCTGATATAAAGTCATATTTTTTAATCTCAGCAAATGTTCGTGTAATATTTGCATATGCTGGTCAGCCCATTGAACCCCAAAGGGACTGGTTGCATAAGGGTAAGTCAGAGTGAGTTGTTCCATTGCAGTCAGTGTAACTGCTGTTGGATTAAGCTGCTGCTTGATGAAAAACTGAACCAGATTCTCAATTATTGGAAGCTATTCTTCAGAGAGTCCTCACTTTGAAAAATAAACAACAACAAAAACCTGGTTTACTGGCTATAAGTAACTCTATTTGATGTTTGTATTTCAGAATCACAACCACTGCAGCTTGTATGATGGACTTGAGAAGATACCCGTTAGATGAACAAAACTGTACTCTGGAGATAGAAAGCTGTACGTACATGAGAAAATGCATACAAAACCTAGCTCACATGCAGGGCAGTTTTCCTTTTACAGAACTTACGCTGCTGTCTATAAACACTATGCGAATCATGTAATTATCACCCTTTAGATTTTTTGTTTATTTGTTTATTTGACTTTTTTAAAAAATGCAAGAGATCATCCATTTCTAGACAGATGGATAAATCCTAGAAAAATGGGCTTAGGACAGAATGAAGTCATTTATTGCTCCAGCCTGACTCAGCAGAGACAGTGACTGGATGCTTATCTTCAACACAAGAGAATGAATATTCATATTTGAATCGGATTCATTTTAAGAGAGCAAACACTGTGATATCGTTTTCCTTCATAGCATTTTATTCTGCATGGACGGTCTTGCTGCAGGAACCCCCTGGGCTTCCAGATCAATCCCATTTATGATTTGCAGTCATGTTCCAGACAGAACCAGGTCCTCTCCTCCACTTAGTCATATCCTAGGATTGCGATATTCAGATGTATAGTTGTGCTTCAGGAGTTCCTACTCCATTTCTGCTACTGGCTGGAAATTGTGGACCATATACACAAAATACTAGTATATGTTCTACAGTCAGCTGTAGCCCTCTGTTACAGAAGCTAATGGAAATGGTGCGACTCTCTTTAATGTGAGTGGAAAAGATCTGCCCCAGTTATGTTTGTCTGTATTCATTGAATAATCCACCTTCTTCTGGTGATTATCAGCATAAATATACACTTGGTTTCGGTGCTAAATGCGTATGATGTCTTAAATCATGCTAATCTGCAATACTGCAAATTACGGAGTAGCATTTTATGCCTTGTTGGGGCCATTAATCCCTGTGTGAATTTTATGAGAGTGATACCAAAGGAAAAACAAAAAAAAAAAACCAAGAAAGAAAACAGTATGTTGCCTCAAATTCCTGGGCAGACTGTAATGGCACAGCTCTTCAGGACAGCTTCCCACAGGCATACAGAACAAAACACCGTACGCTGCTCCAGCTGTTCTGATTCTTCTAATTGTTTCAAATGACAAACAGCATGTGCTGTCTTTGAAGCTACATTTAGGTCTGCTGTTATTCCTGACTTAGGCTCCTGCTTTGCTTGCAGATGGCTACACGACCGATGACATAGAGTTCTACTGGAGAGGTGGGGATAACGCAGTCACTGGCGTGGAAAGGATTGAGCTTCCTCAGTTCTCCATCGTGGAATATAGACTGGTGTCAAAGAATGTTGTCTTTGCCACAGGCAAGTATTACCATTGGCCCATTTAGTGTTTAATTTCTATGTTTGTGTCAATTACTGTTTTATTATTGGTAATTACTCATTTTTAATCATTATTATATATAGTCTCTGTTGTGTATTTGGCTAAATAAATTACTTACTTGACAAAGCCTGGAGGCAGAAGCCCACGTAATACCATTTTTTGTTTGTGTTTATTTTTCTTGTGTGCATGTAATACTTAACCAGACACCTAAATATCTATGATCTAAATAAACATGAATTCATTCACTTCTGAATCATGAGTTTAAACGTAGCCCGCAGGGTTCCTGATCGTACATAAGTATGTTTTGGCATACCAGGTCAAAAAGCCTCCGTTGTTGTGAACACCTCCCTGCAACTTTTCAGTGCATGTTTGTTGTTTTGTTGTATAGTGAATGTAATGTCTTTTATATCTTGATTTGCACTGATGGGTGTGTAGTACTGTACAGACAGCCAGTGCTTTTGTCATCAGTGCTAAGATGCTAAAATTAAATCCCTGGGTTTCCTCCTTGTTTCCTCTAAGATTTAATAACAGTTACTGTAACTCACAGCATTGGATATCTTCATGTGACAAAGCACAATGTTGATTTACATGGTTAATGTTAGATACCAGCACAGGAAAATGTTGTTAGGTGTGACAAGACCAAAGCAACACAGAAAGCTGTCAGCAAGCATGGGACTACTCTTTGGGACCTCTAGATTTTCAGCACTCTCCAGTCCCCAGGGTTGTGCTGCTCGATCAGTCCCAGCACACTAGAAGAGAAGCAGCACAGCTCTATTCTGTTTGTAAGCGTCGCTTTCACCCGCTCTTTGGACACAGCATCTGTTCCAAAAGTACACGGAAACACAAGCTGTATTTCAGAACAAAATGTAAATATTGCTGGAATTTAAATTAATATGAAGGAGTTTGCCAGCTGCTGCTGTTGTTACTTGTCATTGTGAATGGAACATGTTTTTCTTCTACAGAGAAACAGATACTCTAGTCCTTGATCCTTCCATTCTGCATCACGTGTCACATTTGGCAGCCAGGGCTTACCTGTCTCTCCCACAGGAGTGTATATACTTCTGTAGTAGGGCTCTTTTGGACAACAGTGAGAATATAGACAACTTCTCAGTGAAGTTTTTATGACAATCCAAAACTGCCTTTTGGTTCAGCATGAAATATATCAGTAAAGGCATGATTTAGTAATTTAGAGGTGAGAGAGATTTGTTGAATTCAAGAAAAAGAGTAATCCAAAGAACTGAGACAAATATGAGAGAGAACAAAAACTATGAGTAAGCATTTATTTGACTGACCACATTTTTCAAATCATAACAGTTCTTTCTAAAAAATACTTGTGGAAGGAGTAAAAAAGTCTCATGCTTCAGGGTTTAAGACACCTTGGCATTGTGGGGTAGGATGATAGTCACAGAGAAAAGACTACTCCAGGTACCTTATACCATTTTCTGAAGCATATAATTCTTGTCATAGGTAAAGACACAATACTGAATTTACTACTATTTTGGTGCAAGACATTATGAAAATGCTTGGTTAATTGTGAAATTTTGTGACATGTATCTCCATGCAGGGGAAACATTGCATTTGTTTTCTCAAAACCACATATTTAATTCTAAATCTGAAGCATACTAGTAAATCTGATGGAAAAAGTCAGCACACTCTTTTCGATTTCTTTTCAAGACTCTACTTTCTTATGGTCCTAGTAATTAGGGCTAGTTTCCACATTTTTGTGGAAAATAAGTCAGGCATGCTTTTTTTGGCTTTGAGGTTATTGAAGTCTCAAGGGAAGGTATTAGTTCTTTGAGTGCAATATCTCAGTGTACATTTCAGATATTTCAGTACTAGTGTGCTTTGATTGTATAAAGCTAAAAGAAGACTTCAGAGTCACGCCATAAACAGCCTTTGGAGTAGTTATTTCCCCTGTCCTCCATGAGGAACAGTGCTGTACTTGTGTAACTTATGCAGATGGAAAAATCTGTTCCCATAGTTACTACTGAGAAGCAACAGTAAGGATGGAAAAAAACCCCATAGATAGTGACAGAAAGCTATGCAGGACTGTCAGAATACTGGAGGAACTGCATGCACGTTGAAGCATAGCACTGGAGTTAAAAATTGTCTTGCCAAAGTAGCAAAATGGGTCTGTTAAAAAAATAGAAAAGTCACTATGAACAAGTGCAAAGTATATCTATACAACTAATTATTCCTGTCTGGATTTTCAGGACATGGTTTAGAAGTCATGGTAGTGTTGGGTTGACAGTTGGGCCTGATGATCTTAGAAGTCTTTTCCAACCTTAATGATTCTATGAAATTCAGGAAAGGGAATACTAGGTTAGTCCAGGGTTCTTTGTACAGAAAACTAGAGGTTGCTGTTGATCTCCTACTGAGATATCTTTTGGGGAAAAAAAAACAAAACAAACCGAAACACATCTTATAAGGAGTCTGACTTGCATTGCTAAGGCCTGAGCTGAGTATTCGTGGTCATAAGTAGCACTCTTCAAGACAGTTTTGGAGCGATAGAAGAGGGTCTATGGAAAATTAGTAAGTGGGAGTAGAAGTCTAAAAAATGGAATACCTGAAATTACCGAAGAAACAGATATGATTGTGTAGTTTAAAAAAAGAAAACAGCTGGTGGAAATTAAATAAAGTCTTCAAGTGTCTGGAAGGTGTCTGCAATATGGGCAACATGGACAATAGCCTGTTCTCTTTATTCATGATGGAAGGAAGAGAAAATAGTATTTAAATTGCTATGAAGAAAAAAAAACTAATCTGACTATCCTACTAACACCAGCTAAAGGCCATACAGGCTACCATATAAAATCTAAAATAACACTGGATGCCTCTGTATCAATAACTGAATTAAGCCCATAGTCAAATGGTATCAGATCTATGCTGTCAGTGGAGCCTACAAAGCTATTTAGCTCTTGAACACCTCAATTCTGTCCAAAGTGAACAGCTCTTAGGACACTATTCAGTTGCTTAAAGATAAGCATCTGGTGCCTCTTGAGATGCTGTAGAGCACCCTGCTGTTTCAGAGTCTTAGAGTCTTGTGTCCCATGTGACAGTCTAGTGCTTCAGTATTAATTACTTACCTAGTATTAAGTTCTACTCTGCAGTAGCCTTATGCATCTCAAATGGCATTAGACACCTCTGTAGAGGCAATTAAATCACACTTTAGAATCAGCTGTGTTTAAGTCTAGATGTCTACAGTTTGCGCTGAAAGCTTATGCACCACCCGTGTGTAAATATCTGCATGCAAACACCTGAAATAGGAATGGGGATATGTAAAACACCACCTAAAAGCTTCAAGATGCATAGCAGTCAGAGCCAGATTAGCAACCTGTTGGTAAGAGGAAGGTATATTAAAAGATTTGAAAATTACTTATTTTCTGTATTCTGAACGACAAATCTGTAAAGCACATTTCCAATTAGCCGAAAAACCTTCCCAGAAGAACAGATTAGAAAAAGAATTCTGTAACTGACCAAGTCTGTTATCTTGGTTCATACTTGGATAAAACAGCAAGAGACTAATTTAGCCTTGGAGCTAGATCTTTCAGCTTGCTAGCTTTTAATGAAATTGAAACAGAAACAAGTTATTACTTTTTACCAAGTGCCCAAATACATGAAAGAGGAATATTTTGGGCTCAGTTATTGATTAAGTATTTATCTTCGTGCCTGCATTCTCAATATTGTTGTTAGGTTTAAATACTACAGGCCAAATTCTGTTATTCCTGTGCTGTTTAAATTAGCCCACAGACGTCAACATGTTATGTGAGATTGGAGGATGGGTAACAAATCTAGTCCCTAAACAGCAATACTGTTCTTTAGGCAAAAAAACCACAAATTTTGATACAATATTAACAACTAGAATTTCCTGGTAATTAATCTCTGAATGTACTGAGCCTTAATTGACAAATCATTATCCAAGCATAATCAGGCAACTAACAGCGTAACTGTTGAGCTCACAAAAAACTCTATTTTTATTAAATAAGTTACACAAGATGGGTTCTTCTTAGATAAATAGAGATCTGAGCTTACAATTTTTGCTCCATGCTGTTTAGGGCCCATCCTTTTCACTGAGCTTTAGCCATCCAGACAAAATGGGGGAAGTAAGTAGGGGAAATAAGGAATATTCCTTAATTCGTTTTTTCCACAGATTCCTGTGGTCTGTTTGCTGGAGGTAAAACATTATAGCAGAGAGGGCAGTCTGGAGGCAGGAGCAGTAGGTCATCTGTGAAGGCAAAAGCAATACAGGTGAAAGTAATACAAACTTTTGTAGTTTCAGGGAGATCTACCTCAAGGAGAGCTCTGGCTACATAGTATGAAAAAACAAGGCTATCAGTTCATGTTGCAGTTTCAACCTGAACTATGCAAAAGCCAAACTGTTCTGAAATTTCCTGAGATCTAGAACTCCTAATGAAATTTGAGCTTGGAAAATCACAACAGAACAGATCGATAGTCTGTTTACTTCTGTGAAAATGATCAATGTGTCAACTCCAATAAGTAGAGATAATGCTAGCAAGACTTTTTGTTAGGTTATCCAGGAGCCACAGACCCTCAGAACCAACTCTGAGACTCAAAGGGCTGGGATTCATCTTGCTCTGATTTAAGATGAGTATAATTTCAGTTTCTACATATGAACTACGCATCTTAGTTGATGGGAATCTGGGCAGTACAATCAGTGGAGTCTAGAGACAACTTCAGTCCACCAGTAAGAGTCTGTTTTAGGAGGAGATTTACTAAGCGTCATTTACTAGATTGAGTAGATGAACTGATGCTGCTGTAAATGTGGTTGGAGCTTAGACACCTAGCTCATGTTTATGTGGTTCAAATGAGTTGCTTAATCAAATGCTATTTGAGATAGTCTCCAGGCATAGTCTCCAGCTGCTTATCAAACAGATGTAGGGGCTATATCATATCCACCAGCTGCATACTAGTGTCTGAGATGTCATAGGGCACCTCAAAAGGAACAGTGCACCCTCAGATTCACAACTGAGTCCCTTTTACAGTCTGGCTTCATCTCTAGAGCGGGAAGACAGACAGCACTGACAGCCCTGGGCCTTGATATGGTTCCTAGGGTTCTATCTTCCTACTTTAGGACAAAGAACTTGGTGCTTGAAACAACTTTATGTCAGTGTCTCTGGCTGGAGACGATCTCTCTGGAGAGTCCACCTCTAAGGACAGGTCCCACTAGTTTCAGTAATTACCTTATCTCATTAGATGGAGATGGTGATGAGGTAATGGATGTTTATAGAATCATCAAAACATAGAATCATAGAACATTTTGGGTTGGAAAGGACCTTAAAAGATCATCTAGTTCCAGCTGCTCTCACCATGGGCAGGAACACCTCCCACTAGACCAGGTTGCTCAGAGCCTCATCCAGCCTGGCCTTGAACACTTCCAGGGAATAGGCATCTGTGATGATGATTATGGATAAAGCATTCAAGATAAGTGTCTGAAGTTTACCATTTCATAAGAAGCGCAATGAAGAAGTTAAGTTTTGTTAGCCAAAAACCAGGAATGGCTTCAAAGAGAGAATCTGTCTTTTGAAATGAGACATGGTTCACTGGAAAATGAAGATGTCAAGCAAGCGAAAATCTAAATGATTCTCTGCTGAAAGTTATATTGACTGCTTTAGGTAGCAGAAAACCATGATTTTCTTCATGAAATACATTCTTCGGATTCCAACAGTATTCTTCTGTCAGTGAAACTAGAAGGCATTTCATCCTGGAAAAAAATACTACTGATAGAAGTAATCACAGCAACCAAATACATCTACCAGATTTTTCTTGTTCCTGGAAATGGTGTAGCATTTTTTCTGTCACATGACTCGAAGTATACCAAACTATCCAGGAATGTCATGAAGAGAAATCTGCAGTTTTCTATTCCTTCTCTCACTTTCTCTCTCAGGAAATCCGTCATTACTGTGTATGTGGGCAAATGTAATTTCTTGTGCTCAAATGCAAGCATATAAACATAATTTCACAGGATCACAGAATCACAGAATGTCATGGGTTGGAAGGGACCTTGGAAGATCATCTAGTCCAACCCCCCTGCCAGAGCAGGATCACCTACAGTAGGTCACACAGGAACGAGTCCAGGCAGATTTT